TCAAAGTTGAAGATTCAAGGTTCAGGATTCATGGTTCAAGATTCAAGGTTCAAGATTAAAGATTCAAGTTCAAGGTTCAAGATTCAAAGTTCAAAGTTCAAGACTTACGGTTCAAGATTCAAGGTTGCAGATACAAAGTTCAAGATTCAAGGTTCAAGTTTTAGAATTGTTCAAGATTCAAGTTTGAAGATTCAAGGTTCAAGATTCAAAGTTCAAGATTCAAGGTTCTAGGTTCAAGATTCAAGGTTCAAGATTCAAGATTCATGATTCAGGGTTCAAGATTCAAGATTAAAGGTTCAAGATTCAAGATTAAAGGTTCAAGATTCAAGGTTCAAGATTCAAGGTTCAAGATTCAAGGTTCAAGATTCAAGGTTCAAGATTCAAGGTAGTTCAAATGTCAAGGTTTATGATTAAAGGTTCCAGCTTCAAGGCTCCAGATTCAAGATACAGAGGTCAAAGTTCAAAGATCAAGGTTCAAGCTTCAAGATTCAAGATTCGAAATCCAAAGTTCAAGGTGCAAAGTTTAAGGTCATATGCAAGGTTCAATGAGTGAGGCTCAAGACTTAGAAAACAAGACCCAACATTCAAGACCTAAGGTTCAAGATTCTAGATTCTTCAGGATGTGGGATTCAGGATTCCAGATTCAGGATTCAAGACGCAAGCGTCAACATTCAAAGTTCAAGATTCAAGGTTCGAGATTCAATGTTCAAGTGTTAAGTTTCAAAGTTCAAGATACATGGTTCAAGATGCATGGTTTAGGGTTAAGGTTAAGGATCAAGGGTCAAGTTTTAAGGGTCAGGATTCAAGGTTCAACATCTAAAGTTCACGGTGCAAGGTCAATGTCCAAGGTTCAATCATTCAGGCTCAAGGCTTAAGCTTCAAGACTCAAGACTCTCTCGAACTCAAACCAGGCCTGTTTTCTGCTACCCTGTAGCTAGAAGCTGTATTCTCCTGGTAGCCCCGGATTCTGGATAAACGTGCCTTTGTTGGGCTCCGTGGGTGGTGAGCTGAGAGGACGAAATTTCACGGACGGGTTTTGAGATCTGAGGCATGAGATTCAAGGTTCAAAATTCACGATTCAAGATTAAAGATTCAAGTTCAAGGTTCAAGATTCAAGGTTCAAATTTCCAGTTTAAAAGTTCAAGGTTCAAGATTCAAAGTTGAAGATACAAGGTTCAAGATTTAAGGTTCACGATTCAAGGTTCAAGATTAGACGTAGAAGATTCATTTTTCAAGTGTCAAGGTTCATGATTCAAAGTTCCAGCTTCAAGGTTCAAGATTCAAGATACAGAGATCTAGGTTCAAAGATCAAGGTTCAAGATTCAAGATTCAAGATTCGAAATCCAAAGTTCAAGGTGCAAAGATTAACGTCAATGTGCAAGGTTCAATGACTGAGTCTCAAGACTTAAGAAACGAGACCCAAGATTTAAGACTGAAAGTTCAAAATTCTAGATCGTTCAGGATGTGGGATTTAGGATTCCAGATTCAGGATTCAAGACGCAAGCGTCAAGATTCAAGGTTTGAGATTCAATGTTCAAGATTCAATGTTAAACCTTCAAGTTTCAAAGTTCAAGATGCAAAATTTAGGGTTAAGGTTAAGGATCAGGGGTCAAGATTTAAGGGTCAGGACTCAAGGTTCAACATCTAAAGTTCAAGGTGCAAAGTCAATGTCCAAGGATCAGTGATTCAGGCTCAAGACTTAAGCCTCAAGACTCAAGACTCACTCGAACTAAAACCAGGCCTGTCTTCTGCTACCCTGTAGCTAGAAGTTATATTCTCCTGGTAGCCCCGGATTCTGGATAAACGTGCCCTTGGGCTCCGTGGGTGGTGAGCTGAGAGGACGAAATTTCACGGACGGGTTTGGAGATCTGAGGCATGTGATTCAAGGTTCAAAATTCACGATTTAAAATTAAAGATTCAAGTTCAAGATACAAAGTTCAAGACTTAAGGTTCAAGATTGAAGGTTCAAGATCCAAGATTCAAGATTTAAGGTTCATGATTCGAGGTTCAAGATTCAAGATTCAAGTTCAAGGTTCTAGGTTCAAGATTCAACGTTCAAGATTCAAGGTTCAAGATTCAAGTTCAAGGTTCAAGGTTCAAGATTTAAGGTTCAAGATTTAAGGTTGTAGATACAAGGTTCCAGATTCAAGATTCAAGGTTCAAGATTTAAGATTCATGATTTAAGGTTCAAGATTCAAGATTCAAGGTTCAATGTTCAAGATTCAACGTTCAAGATTCAAGGTTCAAGATTTCAGGTGCAAAATTCAAGGTTCAATATTCAAGGTTCAAGATCCAATGTTCAAGATCCAATGTTCAAGATTCAAAGTTCAAGGTTCAAGGTTCAAAGTTCAAGATTCAAGGTTCGAGGTTCAAGGCCAAGGGGGAAGCTCAGTTATTGGTTCTTCTCTGAGAAGGTGGGTGTTAGTAACCCGCGTGCTCACTCTCTCCCTTTCTCTTGCCCTTTTCGTTCATTTCTCGCTCTCATGATTTATTGTCATGCTTTACCCCCCTCGGCCCACTCTTTTCAGCAGTAACCTGTTCTGCCCTGTTTGCCTTCTTATGCTATTTCCAGCACTCTTCCTTGCCCTATCCTCTCTGGTACTCGCCTGCTGTCTGCTTATCCCCTCTCCTGCTTTCCCGTATTCTTTCCCACCTTTTTTGTGCTATCGTCTCCACTATAGTTCTACTCTATCCAGCTCTCTTGTACCCCTCCAGTTCTCTCGTACCCTGTCTTACTTATTTCTGTTTTTTGGTACCCTACTCCTTTTTCAACCCTCTCCGTGTTTTTCCCCGCTCACTCTTGCCGTCTCGTACCTTCTGCTGCCACTTTTTTCTGCCATCTCTATTTCTCTCCTAGACTTTTTTAGATTCTTATGTTCTGTCTTGCTCTTTCGTGTCCCGATCCCTTGCGTTTTCTTCTGTCTTTTTCCTTCTTTACCCTTCCCCAACCTCCTCTAGGTTCTCCCATCCTTTTTTTCAGCCTCTATCTCCTTTCGTTGCCGTCCATATTTTGCTATCTCGTACCCTTTTCCCACTTTTTCCACCTTTCTCTTTTTCCGCCACTCTTTCTTAGTTTCTCGTGTAATTTCGTACCCTTTTACGCATTCTTGCGGTTTTGTCTACTTACCCCGCCTCCATCTAGCGTACTCCTTCCCTTTTGCGCCAACTGAATGATTTGGGGACCCCTGTACACCCTCCATTCGTAATCCAGAATACAGTAGCCTTTAAGAGCATTTAAAATCACGAAATGTTTTCCCTTTAAGAATCCTCGACGGTTTTCACAGCGGCAAAGTAGATAGTTGGCTCTTAAGGAATTTTAAGACCATAATTGGGCCGTCGGGTACGATTCTTTGAAAGCCCTTAAGAGTCAAAAAAGACGGAAGTGCAATGGAACGAACAGGAGGAAAGGAAGAGAGAGATAGAGATCAAGAAGAAAAAAGTGAGACGAGAAGAGCACGTAATAGCGAAAGTGAAATAGAAGCTAAGTTAAGAAGGCGCTTCCTTCTGGGGTAAGAAGAAGAAGGAAAATGGGTGACAAAGCCAGTATGAAGGTTGAAAAGAACGGAAAGACAAATGTGTAGAAAATGAGACTGTGTGGAAGGGGAAGGAAAAACGGTTGAAGGAGATAAGAGAACCGGAAGGAAAAGATTAGCCCATGGGAATTGGAAAGAGGAACGAAAGCGAAATAGCATAAGAGTAGATAAAGCAAAATACAAAAAGAGAGAATCAAAGTTGGAAAGCGAGAGACAAAGATAAGAAAACAGAAGTGAATGTGATGGGTGACTAAAAAGAGAAGAATGGCAAGAAAAGTGGGAAGGAAAGGGGAAGAGTATGTAGGAAAATGAAAGTGAAACGAGAAAAAAACTCTCCTGTTATTATTTCTTGCTTTTTCATTCTCATTTCTTCGCAATACCTCATTTCATTATTCCTCTTATTTCCCTGTTCTTTCAGCTTTGTCTTGTCTTTCACTTTTGCTTCTGTTTCCGTTCTAACCTTATTTTCATTGTATTTTCCTTCCCTCCCGATTCATCTCCAAATCGCTTTTCTCTTTGCCATCCTTCTTCTTAGTATGCGTTCTCTCGTTTATTATGGTTTAAAAGCTCCAACAGTTCAGGGGGCAAATGACTGGTGATGAGGAGGGACAATGCCAGAAATGGGAAATGGGTAAAGAGAAGATGAAGAATGGAAATGAATGATGAACGAGACAGAAACAGAAACTCGGAAGTGGGGGAAGTGAAACGGTTTAGGAATGGAAAGATAGCAGACTATCATTAAAGAGGGAAAGATACGCAAAACGAAAGTGAAGAGGGAGAGAAGAAGGGAATTAAACAGACAGGAATGCTGAGGAGGCCGGCGAAAGGAAAAACAAGAATAGCGACCGCGAAATGAGCTGAGGATATAGAAAGGGAATGGCGAAGGTAAAGCGAGGGAGACGGGGAAACGTGGAAAAAATGGAGAGGACAAGAACAGAAGAAAAAAATAAGGCTGGTGTGGTAGAAAGACAAAAGGCAAAAAAAGGAAGGCTAAGAGCAAGAGAAATGAAGATTGATGGCGAGGGCAGCAAGAAGGTTGAAAAGAACTACTACACAAAAGAAGGTGGTGAACAGGAAAATAAGGAATGAGGGATAATCAAAAGGAAACGTAGAGGGAAAGGAAAGGGGAAATGAAAATTGGTTATGAATCGCGGGTTGAAGCAAAAATGAGATAACATTGAAGAGATGGAAATGAAGTGGAGCAGCAAAGGGAAGGCGAAGGAGCAATGAGAAGCGCAAAAGAGACGGTGAAGTGTGGGGAAATAAAAGACAAGAAACATAAAATAGGAAAGTGAAAGACCAGCAGAGGGAAATGCGAAGCGCAAGAGAAAGAGCAAGGGGAAATGAAGAGAATTCAAAGTAGAAAAGAATAATGAACAGGAAGGGGAACTGAAAAGGATACAAATAAAAGTAAGTGGGAAAATGGAAGCTATAGAGAAGGGGGATTGGAGATAGCTTCGAGTAGGCTTCACTACCAAGACTTTTATTAGATTATCCGAGATGCCCACCCGCCACCTTATAATAAACAACATTACTTATATAACTCAATAATGCGGTTCGCTTCCCTAAATCCCGTCTCAATAGCTCCATGCACTGTTGAGTAATGATTCGTGCTGGTAGCCTCTCCAGCGAACATAATAACCGGTTTTCCATCCGCCGCTCTGATTGGTTCGGCCAATACCGCCGCCTGAGATCGGCCTAGCTTTCGGGAGTGGACGGTTTCGAACGAGTAAGTACCGCGAAAATTGGGATCCGAGTACCAATTTTTCCTACAAAATGAATTATATTGGACCATTTCGAAGGTTGGTTACCTAGTAATCTGGTCTGGGTGTGAGATGCTCGGGTAATCCTTCGATAGAAATTTTCGCATGACGTGCATCGCGCCGTTTGCGATGGTCTCGTCGGATAGCTGCTCGATTTCCGGTACCAGCGGGCCGATGAACCAGACCAAAAGCACGTTGGGGTTTTCTTGGAGTGGGATTGTACAGTAAATTGTGGTGATCCACGATCTGTTACCCTTAAAAGTTAACGTGCAGACTTTTGAGACATTCGTTGGTGGTTTACAATTTTGGGCCCCTCCGGATATTCCAGGCTCGAATTCTTCAAGTCGGCTTGTCTCCATACGAATGCAACGCCCTCAAAGTTGTCATCCCACCATCTAGCGGGGAAATGGAGGAATACTTTCATAATACCGTCAATTCCCAAAGTGTCAATGGCTCGAACCTTCTCCTTGGGGAGGTTTGGTTTGAAAACATTCGCGTGCAGATGCTTGAGCACACCGAGGGAGGGGGTCCAAATGACGTGGTCGGCGGTGTAGCTACTCAGATCTGAGCAGCTCACGCGGACCTTGCCCGATTCCAGTGAAATTCCACTAACCGATTTATTTAAGGCGATATTGCGCTCAATCGGCCCGGAAGCCTGTCGCATTAAAACGCCCAAAATCGTCTTGAAACCCAAGCCATTCCAACCAAGCACCTGGCTCCCTTCGCAAGGCTCAAAGTCTACGCTGGTGGCTACCGTCGACCATGAGAACGAACCAAGCTCAGACTCTACGTACCGCTCGAACAGGTCCAGGCACTCCTCTGCCAAAGTCAGTTCATCCTTGTTCTTCCAGATTTTGCGTATCTCGGCTTCGTACCTGCAACAACTAGATGAAAACCGGGTCCTCGGGTTAACAATCACCTTTCAGTCAAAACCTCCCCCAGGGAGCCCTCCGCCCCATAGTTATCGGCGAAGTAGACATCTTCAAACAAGCGGTTAAGTCGGGCGTTGAATTTTGAGTCGACGCGTTTTAAGGTCGAGTGGTACAGTTCCGGTGACGTATCGTCGACCTTGAGCACCTGCAGATCGCGCACCATTTCGTACACGACGTTATTTTTCTCGCCGTGGCACCACTGCGCCCCCAGGTCGATCAGCGACTTTCCAAAACGCAGGCTGTAGATACGACCTCCGACGCGACCGTCGGCTTCCAAAATTGTGACGTTCGTAAATCCATTGCGGCTCAGAGTACTTGCCGCGGCAATTCCGGCGGCCCCAGCACCAATAATTACAATTCTGGGTTCTTTACGGCACTCAACGGATAAGGTGAGAGCAATTAGTACCGCTAAAATCGACCTCATGTTGTGTCTTTGGGTAGGACACTGCAAAATGGATGATAGGCGTTGTGCCCGTTATTCAATCCACCGACGTAACCTAAAAATAATAAATAATCATAAATGTCCAGTTTGGTTACTGGACAGTAAAAGAAAAATCAATTGCCTTTTTTCTTATTCTTAATTTTTTATCTGAACTAGCCTGGGAAGTAAGTACGGCCATTGAAATAAAAGACAGTGCGACTTTTGTGTGTCCCGACGTACCACCCACGAAAGAAGAAGAAAATTGTATGAACAACCATTGAACAACGAAGCTGAAATTCTTTTGTATTCTCGTTACAATATGGCACCTAAACGTGAAGGCTGAATTAGCACCCCGAAAAAAACAAAATCTGCAAATTTTAAATAATGATTCTATGGATTTAAGGTCAGACTGTTTGAACAACTTTTGTGCAGAGAAGGCGCATTTTTTTAACCGAAATAGCTTTTGTTTTGACATCGCCTTTGTGAGTACCCTCTTCTGACAATCCGTTCTTGAGGTGGAAATAAACCCGATCACGATAAGAGGTCGAGGAGGAGGGCTATGGTTGGTAGAAATTGATTCCTTTCCTTGAGAACTTTCATTAGAGTACCATCAAGGATAACACTAGTTCCCCTCCCCCCCCCCTCCCACCACCCCGTACTTTGATAAGAGGACAGACAGAAGGGCAGTAGTTGGTAGAAAACGGTTTCTTTCGTTGAGACCTTTAATTATGAGAGATAAAATTAATTTTTACCCCCCCTCCCTCAGGCCCCGTCGCTCACTGATCTCGAAAAAGAGTCGCATGGGAAAGTTATAGTTTGTACAAACCAATTTATTCCGATGAGACCTTTCATTAGAACACCATGAAGGGTAGAACATGTGTTTACCCCCCTCCCCTCCCTACATTTTCTAAAGTTTAACTTGGCACCATTAAAGGCATGCGTATGCAAAATCTGAGACCAATAAATTGGTTGTCGTATGTAAAAGTTATTCACGTTTTACTTTCAAAAACAGCATCTAAGGAAATAATTCGTGGGGGTGGGGAGGGGGGGCTTTTAGACACCGAAATTTGATGGCCGCATGCAGAACAAGAAGAAATAAAAATAGAGCAAGGAGAAATGAAACCACGACAAGAAAAGAATATGACACAATTCGAAATAAGATAAGAAAACAATATCAAAGGATAAAGAGTACAACAAAGAGGGAATGATTGGAGAATATTAAACGGAAATTTGGTGGGAGATGGGGATTCACATGCGTGAGAGGGAGAAGGAGGTCGGTAATTAAATACACAATACTCAATGCAGAAATACTGGATGAAACAGATGAATTTAAGATCGGAAGAAGGTTAGAATCGGATCACCAACCCATGGAATTGGGTCTAAAAGAGAAGACCAAGAAATGAAGAGGAGCAAAGACGAAGGGTGATACCGTTATGGACAAGAGACGCGGTGGAACTGTATAGAGGAACAAGGAGAAGAAATAGGAGGGGCGGAATAATATAAAGGAGAGCACAAGTAACTGAAGGGGGGAGGGGAGAAAAAAGGGAGTGATCGGGCAAAGAGTGTACAGGGTGGCCAAATAAGAATGCGAGGTACTGTATCTGGGAACCTGTCCATCGTAGAGGCTTGCGGTAAAAAAAGTTATCACTAAAACGGCCACGAGAAAAGCCTGGAAAATATTTTTAAGTTTCTGAAATGGTCGCTAGGGGGTGTAACTGCAATCTGGAATATAAAAAAGTGATTTTTCTGTAAATTCCGCTATATTAACCTAACAAAAAAATGTCCGGTCTTTGAAGACGACGATTTTTTGTTTGACAATTTTTCCTGTACCTATCTCTAAAAATGAAGTGGTGGGGGGTATTCAAAGGTTTGCGTAAAGAACACCCTGTATCTTCGAAACGGCTGAGCCGATTTTAACAAACTCGGGTTAATTGAAAAGAGTTATTCTTCGGCTACAAATATTATAATATTTGAAGTTTTGTTAGTTTCACATATTGCCACTTGAGGGCTTTTTTCGATATACCGACAGAAATCGTTAATTTTCTCAAAAAAATTAAATGCGTTGGTTTGATTTTTTTGTCATGAAAAAGTAGCTAAATGATCCCTAAACAAGCTCGCGAAAACCGCATCTCGATATCTTGTTCCTAACCTAAAATTTAGGCCAAAGAAAATTGTATACTCTCAAAATTTTATTTTTTAAGCTAATTTTTCCGGAATTATTTTTATTATATAATTTGTGGCCCCAAGGTGGATCGATTTAAAAAAGGAAGCTCTCAAGATATAAAGATGTTGCTTTCGCATGCTTGTTTAGGCATCATTTAGCTACCTTTTATGAAAAAAAATCAAACCAACCAATGCATTTAATTTTTTTAGAAAATTAACCATTTCTGTCCGAATGTCGAAAACAGCCCTCAAGCGGCGATATGTGAAACTAACAAAACTTCAAATATTATAATATTTGTTGCTGAAGAATAGCTCTTTTGAACTAACCCGAGTTTGTTTAAATCGGCTCAGCCGTTTCGAAGATACAGGGTGTTCTTTACGGAAACCTATGAATACCTCCCACCACTTCATTTTTAGAGATACAAGAAAAATTGTCAAATAAAAATTGTTCAGATTATCGTCAACTTAAAAGAACGGACATTTTTTTGTTAGGTTAATATAGCGGAATTCACAGAAACATAACTTTTTTAGATTGCAGTAAAGTCACTAAATATAGAAAGTACCGCAATCCATTGGGCTCGTGTGTTAGAGAGAGAACGCATGATTTTTGCCCAAAAATGGCGGAAGTTACCAGATTCTAGTAACTTTAATGTTAGGGATTGTTCCACCTGTTTGGAGATATCTGTATATATTTTTATAAAGTCACTAGATATAGAAAGTACCGCAATCATCCGCCATTTTTGGCCAAATTTGCTGCCAACTTAAAAAAATTAACAAATAAAATATGAATAACTGTAATTTTTATAAACTAACTTCATAGTACCTACTGTCATGTTTTATAGAAATATATCCCTTTGATTATATACTACTATAATCAAAGATATATACAGATATCTCCAAACAGGTGGAACAATCCCTAACATTAAAGTTACTAGAATCTGGTAACTTCCGCCATTTTTGGGCAAAAATCATGCGTTCTCTCTCTAACACACCAGCCCAATGGGTTGCGGTACTTTCTATATTTACTTAGTGACTTTAATATTTTTATAAAACTTGACAGTACTATGAAGTTAGATTATAAAAAGTTACAGCTATTCAGATTTTATTTGTCAATTTTTTTAAGTTGGCAGCAAATTTGCCCAAAAATGGCGGATGATTGCGGTACTTTCTATATCTAGTGACTTTAGATCCAGATTGCAGTTACGCCCCCTAGCGGTCATTTCAGAAACTTAAAAATATTTTCCAGGTTTTGCTCATGGCCGTGTTACTAATAACTTTTTTACCGCCAGCCTCTATGATGGATAGATTCTCAGATACAGTACCTCGCATTCTTAGTTGGCCACCCTGTACAGTTTCAGAAAAATTATTAGGAAACGTAAGGAAAGGGGGAAACAGAGGAGAAACAGGTAAGAACAGGAAAAAAGTACAATGGAAACTGTACATAAAAAAAGAGAAAGATTTTTGGAAGGTGATAAGCAGGGGAAAAAACAAAAATAGAACCTTATTTAACTGTATTAAGGTACTATAAGGAAAGCAGGAGAAAGGGAGAGCTGGAAGAAGTACAATGAAGATGAAAAGTTAAACGGAAGAGCACCAAATTGTATATTAGAGGAAGGAACGAGAATGGAAAAGACAAGGATAGCGTCCGGGTGCAGGGCGGTAAAATTATAGGAAAAAGGCGATAGAAAAAGCGAATTGGTGAAAGAATGCTTGACAACGAGGATGAACGCAACGGGAATGTGGGAAAAACAAGGAGGAAAATATTACGACGAAGATGGATACGGATTGACTGGGGTTGACGAAAAAAATTGAAAACAGTAAAGATAGAGGGCGCACGTAGAAGTCATAAAGTAAAGTCACTAGATATAGAAAGTACCGCAATCATCCGCCATTTTTGGGCAAATTTGCTGCCAACTTAAAAAAATTGACAAATAAAATCTGAATAGCTGTCATTTTTTTATAACCTAACTTCATAGTACTGTCATGTTTTATAAAAATATATACAGATATCTCCAAACGGGTGGAACAATCCCTAACATTAAAGTTACTAGAATCTGGTAACTTCCGCCATTTTTGGGCAAAAATCATGCGTTCTCTCTCTAACACACGAGCCCAATGGATTGCGGTACTTTCTATATTTAGTGACTTTATCATAAAGATCTTATAAGGAAGTGGTTACTGACCCACAATCGTGCCATATCAAAGGCGGAAGAAATTTGATACAACCAATTTCGTGAATGCAATGGAAATGATTTGAAGAATTTCGAAATCGCTGAACAAGAGCAAGTCAACAGCGTAATGGAGCTATTGGAGGGCAATGCCAATTGACGACCACAACTGTGAAGTAAGGAGAGGAAGATCATCAAAGAATTTGAAGAAGATTTCATGGCAGAAAAGGTCAAATAAGACTGAGGTTAGCAACGCCAAAACCTAGGACATTACGATATTGGGTAGGAGAGGCGCTTTAACGACACATTTCCCTCAAAAAGTGGAAAATCTTGTGTCAAGAGAAAAAACTGTCCAGAATTTAATCGACACGCTGGAAAGATTCCAAGAAACCAATAGCCGAAACCGAGGAAACCAAGAGAGAAAATGGACAATGGAAATTATGAAAGTCTACTCAGTGCAGTATGGAAGAGGTCGGAGACGAGCAGAGACTAAGGAAACTCGGATATTGCGGACCTAAGACCACCTAGGATAACAGAACGCTAACACGCTAGGAGATCAGAACCTGGAGGCAATCCAACCAGAACATTACGAGACGAAGGAGGAGAATAAAAAAGGACCAGGAGACAAGCACAAAGTGAGACTACAGCTAGAAAGCTAAGAAACACTAAGAAACTGGTACCAGATGCGTGAAGACTTAGGTACTCAAAACGAGAAATTTAGGAACCAGACAATATCCTAATCTGTTGCTAATTGTTTCAATTATTATGACTTATTAGTGACTACAAACTATCCAGTCCTTAAAAAATTACTCAAAAAAATAATAAGTTTACTCACAGTAAAAATGCAAACTCACAGCTGTAGCTTCACAAAGGTGACTATTACATTTCATTGTCAATCTAATCATTTGGATACTCTTATCAAATACTCAATTCTATCGCAGATCTTCCGACAATCACTGTCGCTACGCAATCAACTTTTTGGGAAGCCACTCGACACATTCTTTGAGAAGGTTTCTGTATACCGTCTGGAATCTCTTAACGTTTCTTTTATTGGCAATTCCCTAAGCGCATTTCAAGGCTCCTTGAGCTGGGGTATACCCTCTCCGTGTTGGGCCTTGTCGTGGTTGTGGAGGTTGTGTGGATCGGTGATCAAGAGGGGCGAATCCAGAGTAAAGACAACACAAAAGAATGGAAGAATGTATACTCTTCTGACGTGGGGACTGATCAAAAGACTAAACCGGAGGAAGCGTCCCAGGATACTCCTTAACCTGGTTGCAAGTCATCGAGCCGCAACAACAGTCCAAACGACGCAAGTGCATCTCCGGCGCTGAGCAGAAGAGAAGATAGAAAGTCAGGTTGGGCCAAATGAGTCAACTGCTCCAAGAGTCACCTCCCAACCCAACCCTAACCCAGGGCTTCAGGGACAAAATGACCCAGCAATTAAATTTCAGCACTTACATTCAGAGCTTAGAATACAAGATGATGGATTCAGATTTCAGGATTGGTATCATGGTTCGGGACCTAGGATACGGGTATTGAGGCACAACATTTGAAAGGAATTGAGGGATTCAGAATTGGGGATTAAAGATTTAGCGTCACGATTTAGGATCCGTTATTCAGAATACAGGATTCAGGAGTTCTATGAATTTAAACTTAAAAGTTAAAAAACCCAAAACGCAAGAGGATTCAGGATGACTTAGGATTTAATGCTTCGCCGATTCCGGATCCAGGATTCAGGATTCAACGTTCAAGATTCAAATTTTAAGGTACGCAGTTTGCGAAATGCAGTTCAAATAAAAAACAGAATTATCGGGGTTACAGGGTTAAGGATTCAAAGTGCAGTAATCAAATTTCAGGGAGGAGGGGGTTACTTTTTGAAATTATGGATTCTACAGAGCAAAATCTATAAGGAAATGTTTTTTCCCGGTCGTTCTGAGACAATTTTTTTTCGGGGCTCAAAAACAGGCAGTGTGTAAACCTTTTTTTTACCAAAAATCGACTACACCAAAATTCCTCGGGAAAACACTTTTTCTTATTAATTTTGGTGCGTAGAATCCAAAACAATTCGTACTTTTTCGATCAGACTTCTCAAAAAAAAGTTATTAACCAGAAACCAATTTCGAAAGAAAATTCAAAGGGCTGTAACTTTTGAACTAGTAGCCCAATCTTGGAACTGTTTGAAATTATGGATTCTACAGGCCACATTCTATAAGAAAAATTTTTCCGGGTCGATCTGAGACAATTTTTTCTTCGGGGCTCAAAAAAAGGCAGTGTATTACCTTCCTTTTTTTACCAAAAATCGACTACACCAAAATTTCTCGGGAAAACACTTTTTCTTATTAATTTTGGTGCGTAGAATCCAAAACAATTCGTACTTTTTCGATTAGACTTCTCAATCATAAGTTATAGACTAGAAACCAATTTCGAAAAAAAATTCAAAGGGCTGTAACTTTTGAACTAGTAGCCCAATCTGGGAACTGTTTGAAATTATGGATTCTACAGGCCACATTCTATAAGAAAAATTTTTTTCCGGGTCGATCTGAGACAATTTTTTTTTTCGGGGCTCAAAAAAAGGCAGTGTATAACCTTCCTTTTTTACCAAAAATTGACTGCACCAAAATTTCTCGGGAAAAAACTTTTTCTTATTAATTTTGGTGCGTAGAATCAAAACAATTCGTACTTTTTCGATTATACTTCTCAATCAAAAGTTATAGACTAGAAACCAATTTCGAAAGAAAATTCAAAGGGCTGTAACTTTTGAACTAGTAGCACAATCTTGGAACTGTTTGAAATTATGGATTCTACGGGCCACATTCTATAAGAAAATTGTTTTTTCCGGGTCGATCTGAGACAATTTTTTTTTCGGGGCTCAAAAAAAGGCAGTGTATTACCTTCCTTTTTTACACAAAACGACTGCACCAAAATTTCTCGGGAAAACACTTTTTCTTATTAATTTTGGTGCGTAGAATCCAAAACAATTCGTGCTTTTTCGATCGGACTTCTCAATCAAAAGTTATGGATTAGAAACCAATTTCGAAAGAACATTCAAAGGGCTGTAACTTTTGAACTAGTAGCCCAATCTTGGAACTGTTCGAAATTATGGATTCTACGGGCCACATTCTATAAGAAAATTTTTTCCGGGTCGATCTGAGACAATTTTTTTTTCGGGGCTCAAAAAAAGGCAGTGTATTACCTTCCTTTCTTACAAACAACAGACAACAGGGACAGAGAAATGTCAAAACAGGTGCGGAGTGTGCGAAGAGGAGGGGCATGTCCCGTGGACAATGGCTTGCGCAAAATTTAAGGAAACAATTAGGAAGCGGACGGAACCAAAAAATAAGTCCGACCAATAAAGTAATAAACTCACCTACCACCTTTCCGCATACGATGTGCATCACCATGGGGGAAGACAGCGCATGGAAGATAAACGCAACATATTTCGATTTAGTAGACGAAAAAGTTAACCACTTAAGGTGTCACTTCTCAAAATTACCAAGTTACGAATTTGTAGGTAGTATGAAGTAACATAACCTCACATTTTGATGAAAGTAAGTGAATTTTTTTATTAAAATTGTGGAAAATTTAGGGCATCTTCCGCAAATTTTTGTTGTTGTAAACGCTTAAGGTACCCTCTAACCTTTTTATTATATAATTTCATGATCGTAGCTCGGGGTCCGTATATCGCTATATACTCGAAAAAAGAATTAAAGAGAACGTAGAATGAAAAAAAGAATCACTTTTTGAAATAAAAGAAAAGAGAAATAACAAGAGATAATAAAAATAAAGAAACGATTGTATTTGATGTAAAAATCCTTAACACAAGAAGAAATGATACATATAAAAAAAACGAAAAAAATAAATTGTGTATATCAAACAAAATTATTATGTCGTGCCATCTGTCTGTCACATTTCGCACTATTGTAATAGACGTTTTCATTTGAATTCGAAGATTAATTTTTTAATTGTTCTAGTTTTGAACGGGGGTTATCCAACGTCATTAGACTATACAAAAGCGTTAATTTAACGTTTAAAAGCAAACAAATCATTTTCCCCCACAAAACGGCAAATTCCTTAAACACAATTCAATAATACATTTCAGAAACGCTATCAAACTAAAACAATACACAATCGCAACCTTGTTAACTAATGACAATCGTTCCGAAAACCGACAATCGTTTCGTTAGATTTTAATTAAAATGGCGACGAATATTTTGAGAAATATGCAATCTTTACAGGTATAATACACGTTCGCCGTCTCGTTCGCGCCTGTCGCCGAAAGACGGAGACGCGTTTGTGTTCATTACCGAAAATTATTTCTGATTATTATTTATATTAATAATTCGGTCGGTATAAGATTAGAAATCCCTTTTCGCGTCTTTGTGGGGCGTTTTGTTGCGGTAGCGCGCGCGAGAAATCCTTGCGGGGGTTCTAATGTACGTGCATTTGTCAAAAAACGGGCGCCCCCCCACCTTTACTTCTGACAACTAGAGAGTCTTAATGTCTGGAATTTGATAAACTTGTAACGCGCATTGTGTCAGAACTTGGGCGCTTTAAAAATGGGCGCGCATTTATTTAAATATTCCCGTTACGCTAGGCCGTATTAAATTGACTACGTTGCCTAATTAATTTCTTTTTATTATTTCCGTGTTACCTTCAGTTCGCCAGATTTCGCCTTTTATTCGCATTAGTGAATTACAACGATACATTTATTTACTTGTGTTTAATACAAAACAACAAAATCACACTTTTATTGGTACTAGATTTACTTTGTTGTTCTCAAGGGTTTCAATACATTTACGGATTTATGGTACAGTACTCAGACTAGGGATCCAATGGGTACAGAGGCAAATTTTTGTTTGATAGATCATGAGAAAGCATTTGATGAGAAGAGATCAAAGCCGTTTGAAATTGGAAGAGGAGTGAGACAAGGCTGTTGTTTGTCACTTACCCTTTTTTACTTGGACCGAGACTTGGATTAATTAATGATTTAGGTCCTAAAATGAGATAAAGTTCGTACCTCTTCAAGTTCCGACGTGACGCCACGCTTAATTTCCCCTGGAACCTACGCAAACGTTGATTGCTAATTACCATTTTAGTGGACCATTTTTTGCGACCGTACTAAGCTCCATGGTTGTGAAAACACGTTTCAGAATATTTGAGGTCGACCACTGGGGCACAGGTAAGCCAATATGAGTAGGGGTTGACTACCAGGCGCTAACTAGTGTTAAATTTTTTGTAGCGTTTTAACTCCAAACTTGCATAATAAAGTAAGTCACCTAAAGTGGTGTAGTTTATGGTACTCAGAGGTATAATCTGAGCCCTTTCAGTGCGGGTTGCCTATTCCTTCTCAACTGGGAAAAAGGGCAAACTAAGAAACCCTTGTTCTGGTCATGGTCTTGGCTTCCGCAGAAAACAACAGAGCTATATTTTGTTAAATGACCATCAAACAAATGTAGTAATTACAATTCGATGTATCGAAAACCAAACGTTATATAAAGGAGCGGTCGAAAATCAAAATTACCTTTGAACTCTGGTTGTAACGGTCTTTTGAGCTCAGAAGGGCGCTTTTCTGCCTTATCTGTAACATATAAAAACACAAACAAGCAAATAAGAGAAATAGTGAACAGCGCGGTGCATAAATATTGCGGTAGCAATGTCTAACGTTTGACACTAGGGTAAATCGTATACTAAAACCGTATACTTAATAAGAATCAATAATTCGAATGATTTTACAACTATCAAAAGCAAAATTTTGATCGACAACGAATTGTCCGTACAAATCGGTGTGTGAGAGAATGAAAACTACTTTACGATGCACAATTATCTAAATTTCTATACAACAGCAATATAATCTAATTAATTCAA